AATCAAGTCAATGAAGGCATTCAAGATCACTTGATCTTGTCACTCAACCTAATTCTTTTTCTAGCCTTAACTGTTGAAGTTAGATTAGTGTTGAACCCAATTCCCTAGTTTGCTATTGTTTTTTTTATTTTTATTTGTATTTTTTATTATTTATTTATTTATTTATTTATTTATTTGGTTTTTCGAGACAGGGTTTCTCTGTGTAGCTTTGCGCCTTTCCTGGGACTCACTTGGTAGCCCAGGCTGGCCTCGAACTCACAGAGATCCACCTGGCTCTGCCTCCCGAGTGCTGGGATTAAAGACGTGCACCACCACCGCCCAGCCGTTTTTTTTATTTTGTTGTTGTTTTGTTTCCCCCTTTTGGTTTTCTGAGACAAGAAGGTTTCATATCACACACACACACACACACACACACACACACACACACACACACACACACACAGTCATAAATTCACTGTATAACCCAGGATGGCCTCAAACTCTCATAGGCCCACAATACCTGGCTCTCTGGTTTTATAAATAAAAACATGGGAGTCTGAGAAAGCTAGGCTCATAGTCAGATACTTAGTTAATAGGACAGTCAGAACACTCAACTCCTGACTGCCACTTCATACGCTCCAGTAATTTTTGGAGTATCTTTAGCTTTGATACTCCCTAATGAAAGCCAATCAACATTATTGCACATACTATTTTACTGGAAAAGGGGTTGCAACTGGGTATATTATGAGAATTAAAATTTTGTGAAAAAATTTTAGTACATTTAAAAAATTTATTTTGTGTTTATGCATGCTCATTTGCCAAGGAATGTATGTGGTAGTCAGAGAACAACTTAAGAAAGTTAATTTTCTCCTTCCATCATGTTCTGAATTCTGAGGAACTCATGACATCAAGACTGGAGAGATGGCTCAACAGTTAAGATAATTAGCTATTCTCAGAAGCCACATGGTAGCTCACATGTGTCTGTAATTCCAGTCCCAGAGGATCCAAACCCCTCTTCTGGCCTCAGTAGGCACCAAGCAAGCACATGGTCCAAAGATATACATGCAGACAAAACACCCATACACATAAAAATGAATTAGAAACAAAAAAAAAAAACAAAGACCCAGGACATTAGATTTGGCATCAAGTGCCTTTACTCAATGAGCCGCAGGCCCAAGAATCAAAATTTTGACAGTTAAAATTGAAGTCTATTTGGGGTAAGCAGCAAACTGATTCAATAACACAGAAAAAGGAACCCACCAATATAATCATGGCAATGATAAATCAGTCTGACCCAACACTCCTAACTCACAAAAGGAAAGGCCAGTGGGGTGCACCATCCATTGTTATAGTCTTAGCTGTTGACAAGGTCTGGTGACTACTCTGAAGCTCCTTATGGAAAAAAGTTATTTCTCTAGATAAAAACAAAGCCAACACATGTTAAACTGTCTCATACTGACATGCCAAGAAACAAGAAAAGGAAAAAAATAAAAGGACATGGAAACCTAAATTTAAAAAAATTAAAAAAAAAAGAAAAGAAAAAGAAATACTCTAAGGATAAAGGGCTGAACTACCTGTTCTTTTCATTCTAAGAAAGTAAGTTAATATATCACTAATTTACCACAAAAGAACAAAGGTTCACCTTATTATCTAGATTTATACGTAAAGGGAAATTAACTTTTAGCTAGGAACGCTATATACTCCCTATTCCAAACAACTAAGTTAAAGGATAACAAAACATAAAACCACTTGTCCTGTTTCCTACCCACAGCTACATGATAAACCCCCTAAAAGGCTCTGTGAGTGACTGGACACCAAAGTGAACAGCCAGACATCATGTGCACGGTTAGAATCCTAACACTGTAAGACGGCAGTTCTCCTCACTGATCTACCAGATCACACTACAATCGTTTTGTGGATTTCAACTGACTCCACAGTTCATGTGGAGAGGAAAAGACCGAAAACAGCCAGGGCAATGCTGAAGGGGAAGAACAACGTCAGGGACTGCCTGTTGAAGCAAATGTATACCCAACCACTGTATGACAACATTAGGAGAAAATCTAGATGGCCACAGTATGGCAATGACCTCACTGATAGAGCACCAAAAGCAAGAGTCACAAAAGAAAACAGTTACATTAGACTTCATTAAAATCACACTCTTCTGTATGCCAAAGGCAATGCCAAAACAATGAAAAGATAAATCAAAGAAAATACTTAACAGCTGGGCAGTAGTGGCATATGCCTTTAATCCAACACTTGGGAGGCTGAGGCAGGAGGATCTCTGAGTTTGAGGCCAGCCTGGTCTACAAAGTAAGTTCCAGGACAGCCAGGGCTACACAGAGAAACCCTGTCTCAGAAAAAACAGGGGGAAAAAAAAAGAAAGAAAATACTTAATAAAATATATACTGGGGTAGATGTGGTGGTACACACCTTTAATTCCAGCACTCAAGAGGCAGAAGCAGGCAAATCTCTGAATTCAAGTCAAGCCTGGTCTACATAGTGAGTTCCAGGACAGCCAGGGCTACATAGAGAGACCATGCCTCAAAAATCCAAAACAAACAAGCAAAACTGGATAGTGATATTATTGTAACTTGTTTGTTTGTTTGTTTTGTTTTTCCAGACAGGGTTTCTCTGTGTAGCCCAGGCTGTTCGGGACCTCAGATTCACCTGGCCTGCCTCTGCCTCCAAGCACTGGGGTTTTTTTTTGGTTTTTTTTTTTTGGTTTTTCGAGACAGGGTTTCTCTGTGTAGCTTTGTGCCTTTCCTGGGACTCACTTGGTAGTCCAGGCTGGCCTCGAACTCACAGAGATCCGCCTGAACTCACAGAGATCCGCCTGGCTCTGCCTCCCGAGTGCTGGGATTAAAGGCGTGCGCCACCACCGCCCGGCCTCCAAGCACTGGTTTTAAAGGCATGTGAGCCTACTGCCTGGCTGCAATTTTTTTGTTATAGCCAAAACATGAAAAAGTAACCATTCCCTTTAATAAATGGGTAAACAAATTCCATATAACAGAATGGAATACAATTTAGAAATAAAAAGAAATGAGCTATCATACCACAAAAACAAAACAAAAAACATGGAGGAATCTTAAATCTTAAATACAGAAGTCCATCTGAAAATGCTACATACTATATGATCACAAACACAAGGCATTCTGGAAATGGCAAAACAATAAAGGCAGTAAAAAGATCAACTGCCAGGTGGGTTGGTTTACTTTGTGTGTATGTGTGTGACAATGAGTATGAGCGTGTACATTCTCTGTGCACCTGGACACAAGGGACAACCTGAAGGGAAGGATGTAGGATGAATAAATGGAGAATAGGGGATGTTTAGGATTCTATAATGGTAGACATAGGCTATTGGATATGTGTAAAAAACCTATAGAATATGCAATCAAATGAGTGATCCTTTAATTAGTAATCTACCAATATTGATGCATAAACAGCAGCAAACATACTTCACAAATAAAAGATGTTAGTAGCTGGGAAAACTATGTGGCTGAGGGGATGAGAACTGTTTAAACTTACTCATTTTTCTATAAACATAAAACTTTTCTAAAGAAAACAGTTTATGAGAGCACAGGAAGATAGTGTCTGTCTTGTTTTCTTTGTTTGAGATAGTCACATTAGCTGCCCAATCTGGCCTTGAATCAGGATACTCCTTACTCCTGCCTCTATCTCAAGACAGCTACATTACAGGCATGTTTCACCACACTTAGTAATTAAATTCTTTACAAAAAATAAAAACTCCTTATACGAGTCCACTAGCTGGCTCAGCAGGTAAAGGGGCCTTACCACCAAGCATGACAATCTCAGTTTGATTTCCAGAACCCATATAGTGGAGTAAGAGAACCAACTCCTCCAAGTTGTTCTGACTTCCACACTGCACTGTGGCATGTGTGTCCTCAAGTACACGTGTGTATGTGTGTATGTGCATATATATATGTGTATATATGTATATATATGCACACACACACACACAAGTTAATAGATAAAATAATGGAACACAAAGAAAATCTTGAAAGTGCTTACCAGGTCTGATGAAGACATTTTCCACAGATAACATTGCTGCTATTGGAAGCAGTAAATCTTCACAATCAAGAGAAGCAGCCTTGATCACTGCACATGTCAGATGTGGGGGGAGAGGAAACTCCACCATAGATAAACCCAATCTTGTCACATGACCACTCCTTAACACAAAGAGAAAGTTCTTAGGACTCTAGGACAATACAAATAACCTTCATCATTCAGAATAAATAAGATATAATTTAATTACTTAAACTCATCTCTAGAAAATCATTTCAAAGAAATGAGACACTGTGTTCACTGGTAAGAACAACGAAAAGTAGTCTGTGCTTGTTGTGTGATACTTTGTTTGTGTTCTGACAAAGAAAGCTTGCCTGGAGATCAGAGGGCGGAGCTAGCCACTAGTTAACCACAGAGGCCAGGCAGTGGATCACACCTTTGATCCCAGCATATGGTAGGCTCAAACCTTTAATCCCAGCACTCGGGAGGTGGAGACAGGAATATAAGGTGGGTAGAGACAGGATCTTGAGCCCATTCGGTCTGGGGATCCATAGAGGTGAGAAGTGGCGGCTGCTCAGCTTTTCTCATCTTTCAGCTTTCACCCTAACATCTGACTCTGGGTTTTTATTGTTAAGCCTAAATAGATCAGAGCATCAACTGGTGCCCACCGTGGGGCACATGCCAGAGCTGCAAGCAGGGGCTCCCCCACTCCCCTGAGTCCCTCTCTGGCTAGGTTTTCCTTTCTCTTTTCCCCAAGCCTCTGAGTGAGTTTGGGGCTTTTCTGTAGCAACCTTTTCTGTTGTCCACACCTAGCACTTGGGAAGCATTGGCAGGCAGGTCTCTGAGTTCCAGGACAGCCCAGGTCTACACACAGAAACCCTGTCTTGAAAAAAACCTAAAAATAAATAAATCCTCTATTGTGAGAAGTCTTACTTTTCTTTCCCTTTTCTTGTTATATTTTTCTTTATTTAATGATTTTTGTGCACATGCACGTGAAGCAGCACATACGTGGGGGTCAGAAGACAACTTGCAGGAAAATGGATCTCCTCTTCTACCCTGTGGGTTCCAGTGATCAAACTCAGGTCAGCCCAAATTATTTGTTTGTTTGTTTGTCTATTTAGTTTTGTTGGTTTTTCAAGATGGGTTTTTCTATATAGCAGCTCTGACTGTCCTGGAACTCAGAGGACAGTGTGTAGTTTAAGCTGGCCTTGAACTTACAGATCTGCCTGCATCTGTCTCCTGGGTGCTGGGATTCAAGACATGTACCACCACCAAACGGTCCAGAAGTTTTAATACATCCAAAAAAACTACTCAATGAGACAGAACATTGTAATATAAAAAAAACTATAAACATTCAACAGAGCACAGAGCTATCCTTGAAGAAATGAAGGAAAAACAATTATCAAACCTCAACGCACAATCATGACAACGAAGAGTCTTAGCATTTTTATGTAGCTAAAATAATGCTTGGTATTGAAATGGTATTCAAAATTACTTGTTAACTGAAATCACATTAAGAAAAAATGCTTTAGTTTGGGGTTTAAAAAAATATTTCATGGGGCTGGAGCGATGGTTCAGAGGTTAAGAGCACTGGCTGCTCTTCCAGAGGACCCGGGTTCAATTCCCAGCACCCACATGGCAGCTCACATCTGTCTGTAACTCCAGTTCCAGGGGATCTGACACCCTCACACAGACATACATGCAGGCAAAAAAAAAAAAAAAAGAAAGAAAATTCATTTGTCCTTGTTTACAAAGCTTTCTGATTGTTTAGGGTTTTGTTTTGTTTTTTTTTTTTTAGGCAGACCCTATCAAGGCTGGCTTCAAATGTCTCAGGCTCCCAAGTACTGGGATCACAGATTACAGGCATGCACTTCCATGTTTAGCTACAGGAAATGTCTTTATAGTTCAGTGTTGGAGAGCTGTGGTAAACAAAGACTAAGGACATATTTTAATTGCATATAAAAAAATTCATTCAGATTGAAATAAATTCCTTTTGGCTTCTGAAGAAAGACTAAGAACCTTTATTTAAATAGCAAATCGAAAAGCCAGGCACAAAAGCTCATATCTGTAATTCCAGTACTTGGGAATTTGAGGCAGGAGGATTATAAATTCAAGGCTAGTATGGACTGCATGGTGAGTTTCAGGCTAGGCTGAGCTACATACTACAAACAAACAAAAAAGACTGGCAATATGTTTAGATTGTATTTTTTACCTGTCGATAGCATCACACTGGTAAAGCTGTTTAAGTGCTTCCAAAATAAGTCTCTCATTAGGTGGATCCAAATATGGAAACCTGTGTATTTAAATGAGATAGGAGAAAGTCAAGATTATTCATAGCAGGATTTTGTACACACCTGATAGAAATTTCCTTAAAAAGTTTCACTTCTGGGCTGGAGAGATGGCTCAGAGATTAAGAGCACCGACTGCTCTTCCAGAGGTCCTCAGTTCAATTCCCAGCACCCACATGGTGGCTCACAACCATCTGTAATGAGATCTGGCACCCTCTTCTGTGTACATAATAAACAAATAAATCTTAAAAAAAAATACCCATACACATAAAATGATAAAATAAAAAAATTTTAAAAAAGTTTCACTTTTCTTCCATTTTGTTTTGTGGACAAGGTCTCTTTCTACATAGCCCTGGCTGTCCTGGAACTCAATATGTAGAATGTAGATCAGGCTGGCCTCGAACTCACAGAGTTCCTACTGCCTCTGTCTTCCAAGTGCTGGGATTAGAGGTGTGCATTACCACGCCCTGCCCTGGCTCCATTTTTCAGATCCTCCTCTCCCTGAAAACATTGTAGCACCTTGGTCAGCATTCAAAAGGAGGAAAATTTCTGCTTTTTCTGGAATCACATTCCTCTCATTCTAAACATCCTTCTTGGCTAGAACACTCCCATCTTTGTCTTTATCTTAATCTCGACTCATACTTTGTGGCCAATTGTGCTCTTTTCTTTTCTGCAGGCCATGACTGTTTTTACTAAATTGTTACAAAATAGAGGCAAGTGCCAGTGAGATGATCAGTGAGGAAGGGTGCTTGCCACCGAGCCTGACAATGTGAGTTCTATCTCCAAGATTCCATGGTGCAAGAGAACTGACTCCTCTAAGTTGTCTTCTGACCTCCACATGCACACATATGTGCGTGTGCACACACAATCTAAAAAAGAGAAAAAACAACTGAAAGTAGCTGAAAATTTCAAGTTACCTAATAGTAACTCAGGGCTGGCCTTGATTTCAAAGAAACCTACCTGCTTCTGCCTCCAAAGAGGTGAAATTAAAGGCGTGCACCACCATGCCTAGTCTCCTGACCCCCTTATTTTAATTACAAAGAAAATGGTTCAGAGGATAAAGTGCTACCACACCAGGCTTACACCTGGTTTCTTTCTTCTTTTTCTTTCCTTTCCTTCTGGTCTATTCAAGGCAGGGTTTGGCTGTGTATCCCACACTGGCTTTGGCCTCCCAGCAGTCTTTCTACCTCAGCTTTCCTAGTGCTAGGATTACAGACATGTGCTCTGATAGCATATGCCTGTAATCCTACCATTTGAGAGGCAGAGGCAAAAGATCACGTGTTCAAGCCAGCCTCAGCTATACAGCAAGTTTAAAGCCAACCTGGAAGACATGAGACCCTATCTCAAAAAACAGCAATGGAATCTAGAGAAATGATGGCTCAAGCATTAAGAGCACTTGTTGCTTTTGCAGAGGACCTAGGTTTAGTCCCCAGAACCCACATGGTGGTTCACAACCATCTATAACTCCAGTTCCAGGGGATCTAACAACATTTCCTGACATCCAGGGACACCAAGCATGCAAGTGGTGCACAGACTTGTATGCAGGAAAAACATCCATATGCATAACATAAAAATCTAAAGAAAAGAGCCAAAGAAGAGTAACAACATAGACAGTATTAAGTCATTGAAAATGAACTAATGCCTATTCATTCTTATTTTTCTAATATGTGTTGATTCTTGGTTATTTGTACTCTGTAGTTCTTTGAGAGTATGCTAGGAATTAATGCCAAGCTTACTGGGCAGTTGATTTCAGAGTCTTCTCTTCCTAAATGAAAATATATAAGACACTGTTTTTTAATCTGGATTTGCCTGAAAGTTTCTGGTTTGGTCATTTAGTTCTTTCAATGGCTTGTTATTTCTTTCTCATTGGCATAACTAATTAATACAGTTAAATTTTACATGTTTTCCTCTACATTCCTATCTTGAGCCAGATAAAGTGGTGCACACCTATAATATCAGTAGTTGGAAGTTACAGTCAGGTGGATCACTATGAGTTCAAGACCAGCCTGGTCTAAATAGCATGTTCGAGGCCAGCCAGGGAGACATGAGACCCTGTCTCAAGAAGAAAAAAAAATTCTGTAGTCTTACTTGAAACCATCTGAATTGGCTTCCTAAGAGTCAAGCTTGGTAGCATTTGCCTATAATCATAGCACTCAAGAGACAAGAGAAAGAGATTTGCTAAGGCCAGTCTAGTCTACATCGTGAGTTTCAGGCAGCCAGAGCTATAAAATGAGGCTCTGACTCAAACAAATAAAAATATGTGCACCATTACATCTGGCTCCATAAAACACTTTCTAATTAGAATTACAGTCATATGCCTTACATTTAAAATTAACAGTGGTCAACCAGGCATTGTGGTGCATGCCTTTTAATCACAGTACTTGGAGGCAGAGATAGGCAGATTTCTGTGAGTTCAAGGCCAGCCTGGTCTACAGAGTGAGCTCCAAGACAGGGAGATTTTTGTCTCAAAAAATAAAAACAAAACAAAACAACAAAAACAGTGGTCACTAAAGTTAGTCAAATCAATATCAGCATGAAGGCCTCGATTAAACAAAGGTTTAAATATGAGAAAAAGATCAATTCTCAGTGTGGCAGTTTGAATGTAATTGGCCCCCATGAGCTTGTAGGGAGTGGCGCTATTAGGAGGTGTGGCTTTGCTGCAGGAAGTATGTCACTGTGAGGGTAGGCTTTGAGTTCTATGTTCAAGCTACTCCTAGTGTCACAGACGACCATTTCCTGTTGCCTGCAAGACGTAGGACTCTTAGCTACTTCACCAGCACCATGTCTGCCTGCATGTACCATGCTCCCCACCATGATGATAATGGACTGAACCTCTGAACCATAAATGAGTGAGCCACCACAATTAAATGTTTTCCTTTATAAGAGTTGCCATGGCCTTGGTGTCTCTTCACAGCAATAGAAACCTAAACTAAGACATCGAGTAAAGCAATGCAAGCTTTGAAATAAAACAGTTTAACACTGTTTACTTCTAGATTCCTCAATCTTAAATTACAGCAGTTTGAGGCTGATGAAAATGTTCTGAAATTTGACAGTGGTAATAGTCATCTAACACTGTGAATCTACTATCAACAATTTGAACTGTACACTTTAAAATGGCTAAAATACAGAATTTTATTTTAGGTAAATTAACATTTTTGGTTTAGGTTAAAAGCAACCATCAAGAGAACTAACCCTGGATATAGGATAGTCTCAATTCCTGGGGACATATCAGTCAACAAGTACAAAATGATTTCCGAGCAGTAACCTGGCTTCTTCCACTCTAGCCACATTTCTTTCCAGGGTGCCCACATACCTTATGACATCATGTATGGCAAGGCACTTTAATGTCAGAACTACAGATGTCAAACTAGTTCTCTTAATCTCTGGGATCACATGATCAGGCATACACTGGTTCCAAAAATCTTTACTATAAATCCGAAAGCATTTTCCTGAGGCAGTCCTGCCGGCTCGGCCACTTCGTTGTAATGCTTCACTTCTACAAAAGAAAACAAAAACAGTTCCCTAAATGTTTTGTGGGTTTGCCAAGTAATTTACTTCCAATATTCAAACCAAGTAGAAAGACGCTAATCAGCTAACTGTTCTTTGAACTAAAAAGCTTGATAAAGAGACTTACTTTGAAATAGGAACCACCTCCAGGATGTCCAACCCTAATCTGGGGTTGTGATTTAACTGCTTCACAAAGCCTCCGTCCACTACATACCTAAAAGAATGAAAGCAAGTTAAATATCTAGAAAATAAGGGGAGATGTGTTAATTTTTACTTTTATTTTATGT